ATACTTTCAACAATAAAGATTAAAAAAAAGAAGAAGAAATGGCAACTTGAGGCCCCTGTCGGGGCAGCGGGGTGCCTGTGGCGTGGGCTCTGCTGCTGGAAGGATGCAGAATGTAGCTCAGGGTTTCATATCCAATGACTTGGCAACATTAGGTTCTTGAGTGGGTGAATGTCTCTTTGGAGCTCAGTCATCATGGGTTGCCCTTTCCTTTCTTTAAAAAACAGCTTGCTGCCGAAACCGGTTTGGCTCAATGGATAGAGTGTCTGCCTGTGGACTCAAGGGTCCCGGGTTCAATTCCGGTCAAGGGCATGTACCTGGGTTGCGGGCACACCCCCAGTAGGGGGTGTGCAGGAGGCAGCTGATCGATGTTACTCTCTCATCGATGTTTCTAACTTTCTATCCCTCTCCCTTCCTCTCTGTAAAAAATCAATAAAATATATTTTTTAAAAAAATAACAGTTTGCTTTTGCCCTGGCCAGTTGGCTCAGTTGGTTGAGCATTGTCCTGTGCACCAAAAGCTTGCTGGTTTGATTCCTGATTCCCAGTCAGGGCACATGCCTGGGTTGCAGGCTCGATCCCCAGTAGGGGGCGTGCAGGAGGCAGCTGATCAATGATTCTCTCTCATCATTGATGATTCTATCCTTCTCCATCTAAAATTAATAAAAGCATATTTTAAAATATATATATTTTTTGGCCTGGCCAGTGTGGCTCAGCAGTTGAGTGTTGACCTATGAACCAGGAGGTCATGGTTCGATTCTCAGTCAGAGCACATGCTGAGTTGTGGCCTCGATCCCCAGCAGGGGGCATACAGGAGGCAACAGATCGATGATTCTCTCTCATCATTGATGTTTCTATCCCTCTCTCCCTCTCCGTTCCTCTCTGAAATCAATACAAATATATTAAAAAAAAAAAACAAAAAAAAACAAAAAAAAAACGTGTGTGTGTGTGTGTGTGTGTGTGTGTGTGTGTTTTCTTTAGAAAAGCAGTCTATCGTCCTTAAGGAAAATTTAGAAGAGTAGAAAGATGAGGTAGGAAGAATCACTTGTAGCCCACCAGTCAAACACAACAGCGATGAATATCTTGCTGTATTTCTTTCAACTATTCATTGCATACATACTACATTTACGAGTTAATCTTGGTGAAATTTTTATTTTTATTTTTATCTATTTATTTGAGAGAGAGAGAGAGAGAGAGAGAGAGAGAGAGAGAGGAAAAAGGGAGAGAGAGAAAAAGAGAGTGAGAGAGAAACATCGATTTGTTGTTCCACTTATTTAGGCATTCATTGGTTGGTTCTTGTATGTGCCCTGCCTGGGAATGGAACCTACAACCTTGGCGTATTGGGATGACACTCTAACCAGCTGAGCTACCTGGCCAGGGTCTAGGTGAAATCTTTAGAAAAAAAGCCCAACTCTTAACCTTCAACATTAAGAATTCAGCTTTGGTGTGGAAGAAAGGGGCTTTGTGGAAAGTAACCGTACAGGGTGATCTGCTTATAAATTCCTAACTGGGCAGGTCCTGGTGGGAGTCATACGCCAGGCAGGCCTATAACTCCCTTCGTGAAAGGCTTATCTTTGCCTTAAGCAAGCCCTGCCCGTAGTTTCTGTGCTTCTTTGAAATGGCCCTTTTCGGATCCTCCCTTAAAGCCTGAGAGCACATCATCGTAGCTGTCCTGAAACCCAACGCCACCTTCACGTGACCCTCCTAAAGTTTCCTCCTTACTTGCAGATGCATAAGAGAAGCTGCAAAACTGTTATTCTCCCTAGCATTTGCACATACACAATTTGGCTCAAATTAACTCTTGTTAACTTTTTTTTTTTTTTAATTCTGCTTTGGACAAAGAAAACCTGGTAGGGGCCCCACGTAGTCACTCACAGGGGTGCCGGGCAGGGGATGGCCAGACATGGAGTGTCCCCTCTGCTGTCCCCACCACCGCTCCCACCAGCTTTGTCATTTTACCTTTCATGTTTAGATCCCATAAATTTTGAGGGGTGATATGAATTCATTTTCATAGGGATAGCTAATTGCTTCACTACATTTATGGAAAAGGTCATCTGTTTCCACCATACTGCAGTGTCACCTTTGTTATAAATTAAGTGACCTTGTATGACTGAGTCTATTTCTGGATTCTCTCTTCTAGACCACTGGTGCAGTCATCAATCTTTGTGCCAGTTCCACGCTATATTAAGTAATGTAGCTTTATAATAAACCTTGATATCTAGTAGCGTAATCCTCCAACTTGGTTCAAGATTGTCTTGCCTCTGGCCAGTGTGGCTCGGATGGTTGGAGCGTCATCCTGCACACCAAAAGGGGGCGGGCTCCATTCCCAACCAGGCATATACCCAGGTTGTGGGTTTAATCTTCCTGGTTGATAGGTCAACACTCGATGATTCTCTCTCATGCTAATCTATCTATTTATCTATCTATCTCTCCCCAGTCCAAAATCAATTAAAACATTTTAAAAAAGATTATCTTGGCTATTCCTGGTTCTTTATGTTTCTCTGTACATTTTAGAATCAATTTCTCAATTTCCACCAAAGAAATACACTGGGATTTTGATTGATATTGAAATAAAATCTGTAGGTTAATTGGGAATAATTTACATCTTTACAATATTGAGTCTTTCAATTTAAGAACATTCTTTAATATCTTTCATTATTTTATACTTTTCAATGTAGAAAATTTGCACATTGTTTATTAGATTATTCCTGGTGTTTGATACTTTTAATGGTATCTGAGGTTTTTCCCCCTGATAACACTTCTGACATCAAATGAGAAAGTGCTTTTCTTCCTGTGACCATTTCTCCAGCGTGGCTACCGACTGGGTGTTCAACAGTGGAGTCCTTTTCTCAGGCCTTTCTTTCTGCCTCTGTGGAGAATGTTCTGGAATCGTTGTTGTGGTAGCTTCAGGGATCTTAGGGTCATTTAGATGATTTGCTAAAGATCCTGTCCCCTGCAAAAGCTGGGCCCTTGGGCTGGGCAAGGGAGTTGGGAAGAGGGATGTTATTGGGGGGAGGAAGTATTAGCCAGCTTTTCTGTTCTTTATTATTATAATTATTATAATAATAATAATAATAATTATTATTATTATTATTATTGCTTTCTAGAGATAGAGGAAGGGGTGAAGGGAGAAAGAGACATCGATCTGTTGTTCCACTTATTTATGCCGTCATTGGTTGATTCTTGTATGTGCCCTGACTGGGGATTGAACCCACAACATTGTAGTATCAGGACAATGCTCCAACCACTGAGCTCCCGGCCAGGGCCCTAGCCAGCTCTTCGTTAACTCTTGGATGTGTCCCCGCTTCTCCAGAGGAGTCAACAGAGTTGGGAAATAGGGTGAAACCATCAGGATAAGCCCAGGATGGAGGGTCTGTGTCAGATGCTGTGAGGACAGACTGAGGGATGAAGACCCTTCGGTGGCCAAAGGTTGAGGGAGAGGAGATCAGGTTTTATCAAAGCTTCAAGAGTCAACATAGGGGAGAGTTGCTGAGGGCCTGAGGTCACAGAAGTCGCCACCTCACAGGTGAATCTGAGGCCGGGGTTTGACATCTCTCCCAGGCCAGTGTCTGCTCACATTCCCACACCTGTAGGGCCCTGAGCTTAGGGACAAGAATACACAGAAGTAACACGGAAACAGGAACAGCCCCCATTCACTGGGAAACTGCTCACGTAACACTCCCAAACCCTTGAGATATATTTTATTAACCCCACTTCATAGAGGAAGGCCACTGAGGCTGAAATCACTTAGGGTAGTGGGTGGCTCCCTACGGCTCACCCTCAACTAAGACAGGCGTGTGTCACCCTGAGGTCCTTGGTCCTCGGGGGTCCTGCACAGGGGGCTTTGCCTGTAGCGGGTGCTTGGTGGACCCTTGAACCTTAAGGTCCTGAGAAGTAGCTGGCATCCAAGGAGTATGACAGGGATTCAGACTGTGTCAGACCTGGTGAACGCTCGCCGGGAGCCGGCAGCCTTCCTGAGTGAGCGCCACGTGCCTCCCAGTCTGCGACCTCCGCTGGCACCTGCTCACGTGCCCAGGAAAACGCTGTGTCCAGAGCAGCAGCCAAGAGGAATGCCCAGGACCCGAAGATACCCCAGACCCACGGCTAGATGACTGACCCAAGCACTCAGGAAACTGACATGCTTCTTGAAACCTAGAAGTTTCAAGGCTTTTCCAGGTAACCTAAGAGCCCACTGAGTGTATTTTACCACAATAAAGAAAAATTTGAAACACGCAGTGAGCTGCTGCAGACACAGAAGCCTTCAGGGCCCGTCAGGGGCTCTCCCCTGAGGCAGCCCCCCTCAGGGCTTTCCAGAATCAGGGTGGAGCACCCGGTAACAGGAGGGTCCCTGTGACTCTGAGGGCTGGCTTTTATGACCGCTGTGTATAAACACATGAACAGGTTTTCTGTCATTGACCCATCCTGGGACCAACCCTAGTTGACGGTGAGAAGACAAAAAACAAGCAAACTGTCACAAATTATTGGATCCCACTTGCTGGTTTTGTTTAGGATTTTCGCATTTATGTTCATGGGTGAGGTAGGTTTAAATTTTCCTTTTCTTGTGCCAGTCTTGTCTGGTGGGAGAGGCAAGGTCATGCTCACTTCATAGAATGATTGACGGGCTTTCCTCCCTTCCCCCCTTTTTAGTTCTTGGACAGTGGACGATAATGGTACCGGGCTTGGGGTTTTATAAGAACACACCCCGGAGTCTGCCTGCTCCACAAGGGATGTGCAGACAGGAAGCCAGACACCTGTTTTCTTTAGTCTGTGTTGCCTTCAATACGGTGCTTTTGTTGTTGGTGGGACCCTCTGCTGGGAGCTGGCCACTTTCCTGAGGAGGTGGAGGTGAGGGATGAGGGGAAGCCCTGGGCCCAGACAGGGAGAGGTGCTGGTGGGGGAGAGAGAGCCCAGAGCCTGGTGCCCCGCCCCTCCCGCAGCCACCCCTGCTCCCCGGGCCCAGGCTCCGGCGGCCCCGCAGGAGCTCAGCCCGCCCCTCCCACGCAGGCACCATGTTCCGCAAGAAAAAGAAGAAACGCCCGGAGATCTCAGCTCCACAGAACTTCCAGCACCGCGTCCACACCTCCTTCGACCCTAAAGAAGGCAAGTTTGTGGGCCTCCCCCCTCAATGGCAGAACATCCTGGACACGCTCCGGCGCCCCAAGCCCGTGGTGGACCCGTCGCGCATCACGCGGGTGCAGCTCCAGCCCATGAAGGTGAGGCGGGCGGCGGGCGGCGGGCGGCGGGCGGCGGGCGGGTGGGCCCCGCGCAGCCCCTCCCGCTCCACGGATGCCCTGGTCTCGGCCAAACCACAGAGGCACCTGGAGGAGTCTTCTCATTACGGCTATCAATGAGCCGCTGTTTTCATTCCCGGCTCCTCAGCCCGGGTCTCCCTGGGTAACCCGGGGGAGTCCTCCAAAGGGTGGCAGGGCTGCCAAACATAGCAAACAGAACAGGCTGCCCAATGACGTTGGAATTTCAGATAACAACAAAGAACCGTCCCGTATTCAGCGTGCCCCGGGAATATTTGGACCTGCAGCCCCTGTGGGGCTGGGGGATTTCGCTGTGTGGGTCAAGAAGGGTAGATCCAAGAACCTGGGAGGGGCTGGGGTCAGGACTTAGAGGCCACACAGCCAGTGTGCGCGGAGGAGGGCCCTGGCCTGGCCCCGGCCTCCTCAGAGGGCTCTGCACCTTTCCCAGAAGGCCACAGGCAGAGCCGGAGAATGGTAGGGGGCCCCGGGTGGCCCCGTCCCCATGGTTCCCCTCGGCTCCCCAAGCTCAGCTGCCACACCATGTGGGGTTCTGGATTGGAACCCTGTGGTTACGCACCTGTGTGCCCTGCTAGGCTGAGAGCCCCATGAGAATGGGCCTTTTCCCTGTATCTCTGCACCAGCCCAGGCCTGACCTGCCACAGGCCCTGGTAAATGGCTGAACATGTAAGGAATGGGGGAAGACACACAGGCAAGGTCCTCAGATGTCCCTCCCCAAGGCCCCCGGGGAGGCCCCGGGCTGGCCAGGCTGCCCTCCCTGCCGTGGACAGGCCGCTCACCCGCGCACTCCTCTCTCCCACAGACTGTGGTGCGGGGCAGCTCCGTGCCCACGGACGGGTACATCTCGGGGCTGCTCAACGACATCCAGAAGCTGTCGGTCATCAGCTCCAACACCCTTCGTGGGCACAGCCCCACCAACCGGCGGCGGGCGCAGTCGCTGGGGCTGCTGGGGGAGGAGCCCTGGCCCGCCGACCCCGACATGTACCTGCAGAGCCCCCAGTCTGAGCGCGCCGACCTCTACCTCAGCTGCAACGGGGGCGCCCCGGCCGGCCGCCGGCAGGTGCCCTGGCCGGAACCGCAGAGCCCGCGGGTCCCGCCCAACGGGCTGGCCACCAAGGCGCAGTCCCTGGGCCCCGCCGAGTTCCAGGGCGCCACGCAGCGCTGCCTGCAGCTGGGCGCCTGCCTGCAGAGCTCCCCGCCCAGCACCTCGCCCCCTGCAGCCGCGGGGAGGCGTGGAGCCAAAGCGGTCAGGCACGGCTCCGAGGAGGCCCGGCCGCAGTCCTGCCTGGTGGGCAGGCCGGGCGGGGAGGGCAGCCCCAGCCCCAAGACTCAGGAGAGCAGCCTGAAGCACAGGCTGTTCCGGAGCATGTTCCTGTCCACTCCCGCCGCCGCCCCACCAAGCGGCAGCCGGCCAGGCCCCTCTCTACCGAGCAAGGTAGGTCAGTGGGCAGCCGTCCGGGCACCCTCCGCGAGGCGGGGGGGGGGGGGGGTCGAGCGGGCAGGCGTCCCCTGGGGAATGCATGTCGGGTGCACAGGCCCTGCCTGGCCTTCCCCATTACAGAGGTTGAGTTAGGGCACATGTGTCAAACACAAGGCCCGCGGGCCAAATCCATCCCGCCAGGCCTTGCAATGTGGCCCGCACTGCGCTGTCATCACTGCACTCCGCTGCGTTTCCATCACAATGACAGTTTATGACTGTTCAGTAAACCATTCGGCCCGCGATTTAGGCTGGATTTTAGATTTTGGCCCCTTCTCTGATTGAGTTCGACACCCCTAAGTTAGGGAAACAAAATAATCAAGAAACCAGCTCAGCCTCAACTGAGGATCCTACCCTGAATTAGCTGAGTCCTCACCCTCCAAAGGCTTAGCATGTGAGAGTCAGGCTGAGCCAGGGCGTTTTCCTGGGGGCTTCAGAGGAGCTGTGTGCACCCAGCTTTCACGCCTGCCCCCTGGGGGGTGGTTGGCAGATACCCCCCCGAAAGAGCAGCATTTAAAAACATATTTTTTAAATTTATTTCAGAGAGGGAGGGAGGGAGAGAGAGAGAGACAGATTAATGATGAGAGAAAATCTTCGATTGGCTGCCTCCTGCACGCCCCCTACTGGGGATCCAGCCAGAAACCTGGACATGTGCCCTGGAATCGGACTGTGGTTCACAGGTCGATGCTCAGCCACTGAGCCACGCCGGCAGGGGGAGAAGAAAAGCAGTATTTTTAACCACAAAAGCCCAGACCTTCCCCTGCGCCCAGGGCCCAGCAGCCCCCACCCAGGCCGCAGCAGAGAAGGGGCTTCAGCCCCCGGGGGGAGGCCTCTCCTGCCTCCCTCTTCTCAGACCATCTTCCCGCCTCCCTCCCTCACCCACCCCCCCCTCGGAGGCTCCGTTGGGGCCCCTGCACTTCTCCCCGGCGACCGCTCGGCCCGCCCGCGCTTTCTTTAGCGGTGGTGGTGTTGTCACTAACGTTTCTGGAATGACTTATCCTCAAGTGTGTGTGCCGTTTGAAAAGCCAGAGGATTGGATCCTCCTGCGTCCGGCGGTAGCAGGAGGCCTGCCGTGGGCCCGCGTGACAGCCTAACACGCGGGTGTTTTTCCTAAAGAAAGGAGACGGCGCAGGGGGCCCGCGGTGACATTTCTGGGCAGGCAGAGAACAGTGTGCTTCTCTCATGGCCCATGGCATCCTGCATGTGGCAACATCCCTTCCCACTCCGTCAGCCGGAAGCCTGAGTCAGAGAGGGTGAGGCAGCCAGGCGTGGGAGTGCTCGGGGACGGCGGGCACGGAGGCCTGGCTCCGGGGCTTCGCTGTCTTGGCAGCCGCCGCTCCCCAGCTCCTCCCCGAGGGGCAGGCAGAAGAGAGCTGAGGCGGCCGCCGGAGGCTCCTACGTCAGACCTGAGAAACGTGGGTGGCTCAGTGATGGCGGCTCCCCTCCCAGGAGGACCAGCCTGGGTCCTCCCGCTCAGGGATGGCGCCCGTCTGGTCCAGCCTGAACGTGGCTGGGGAGTGTGGAGAGTGGCCCGGACCCTCAGCCTGTCTGAGTCAGCACCAGCCCCAGGCACCCGGGGAAGGCGCTGGGCCTGTGCCCTCCGGCCCTGCACGGGGACGGGGTCAGTGGGCTGGCATCCCTGTGGGGCGGGTGTCTGGGGGGCAAACAGGAGTTGTGGCTTGATGTGCCTGTCCATGCGAGGCCCGTGTCTGCGAGCTGAGGGGTCTGGAAGGCTGTGCCCCCGGGGAGACGTTCCCCAGAAAACCACGGTGGGAGCCGCTCGCACAGGGCTCACCGCTTGGGAGGGAGAATGGGAACGGGATCCCTCGCTGGACTCTTGGGAGTCCTTCGGGAGGGCTTCAGGGATTGGAGAGGGGGTGTCTGGGCACAGACATGAATGTTTCCGGGTTCCTAGCAGCGCCCATGGCAGGGCAAGGGCTGTGCCACCTTACTGAGCGCCTCCCAGGGGCCACTGCTGGGTGTGCAGGCCTGTGAGGGAGGCGGTGGTTGTCCTGGGCTTGGAGATGCCACAGCGCCAGATCCAGCCGAGTGCTTCCTTCTCAGCATCGTGGGCACCTGTTCCCAGAGGAAAACCCCAGCCAGGCCTGCAGCACTGCTGCCATTGGCTCAGACGGTCCTTCGGCGTGGGGCTGTCCTGGGCACAGTAGGATGTCTAGTAGCATCCCCAGTCTCTACCCAGCAGACGCGAGCAGCACCCCACCAATGGGACAACCACCAATCCTTCCAGATAGTGCCAGATGCCCCTTGGGGGGCAAAGTCACCCAAGGTGAAAACCGCAGCTTTAGACAAATTACCTCAGACGGGTTACCAAGCCAGCAGCCAGCGCTCTGCCCCTCAGCATATGCCAGGGCTGGCTCTGGACACTCGCCGCAGCTCCCACGGCAGCACTGGTGCCGGAGGCCAGGCCGGCAGAGGCCCTGTGTGCCCGGAGTGGCTGCAGGAGGCCTGTGGCCCTCGGGCTCGGGGACTCAGCCCAGACAGCGTGGTCCGTGGGCACTCACTTTGGCTGAAGAGCAAAAGGAGACCTCGTGTGGCCCCGTGTTCCTGTCCCAGGCCCGTCAGGGCGGGCTCTCGCCTCTGCAGGGAGGGACGCCCTGGCCCCAGACGAGGCCTAGGACCGGGGTGGGGGCGGAAGCCCAGAAGCCTGGGGCGGGTGCTGCAGAGCTTGAAAAGGTGCTGGCTGAGCCGGGTGGGCCTGAGGCCCAGCCCAAGCAACTGAGCCCGAGCGGACTGACCTGAGATTTCCTGGAAGCCAATTCAGCTCCGGGAATCAGGACAGGATCCACCGGGCACCTAGACAACCAGAAGCGATGGGTTCTGAGACGTTCTGAGAAGCTTCTGCAGCGCCTGAAGGTCCCCTAGGTTACAGAGGGCCCTCTCCCCCATGCCTCCTACCACCCCCACTTTTTAAAATATATATATATTTTATCAATTTTTTTTTTTTTTTTACAGAGAATAAGGGAGAGGGATAGAGAGTTAGAAACATCGATGAGAGAGAAACTGCCTCCTGCACATCCCCCACTAGGGATGTGCTTGCAACCAAGGTACATGTCCTTGACCAGAAAGAATCGAACCCGGGACCCTTCGGTCTGCAGACTGACACTCTATCCACTGGACCGAACCTGTTAGGGCCCCATGCCCCTGTTAAAAGCACAAAATCCTCACTGGGCCGGTGTGGCTCAGTGGTTGAGCTTATGAACCAGGAGGTCACAATTCAAGCCCTGGTCAGGGCGCATGCCCAGGATGAGGGCTCGATCCTCAGTGTAGGGCACATGTGTCAAACACAAGGCCCGCGGGCCAAATCCGTCCCGCCAGGCCTTGCAATGTGGCCCGCACCGCGCTGTCATCACTGCACTCCGCTGCGTTTCCATCACAATGACAGTTTATGACTGTTCAGTAAACCATTCGGCCCGCGATTTAGGCTGGATTTTAGATTTTGGCCCCTTCTCTGATTGAGTTCGACACCCCTAGTGTAGGGTGTGCAGGAGGCAGCCGATCAGTGACCCTCTCTCCTTGATGTTTCTCTCTCTCTCTCCCCCTTCCTCTCTGAAATCAATACAAATACATTTTTTAAAAACAACCCACAAAATCCTTAGTCAGGTTGCACACGCCGGCTGCCTGGGGAGAAGCCCAGGAGGGGCCGTCTCCTGCTGGGCCGGCGGGAGAGCTCGGATCCAGAAAGGCAAGGAGCCCGAAGGCTTTCGGGTGGGCACGGCCTCCACCCCGAGCCACCTCCCCTCCTCCCCGCAGGACAGCCTGCCTCCGCCTCCTGGTGGGGGTCCTCAGGCAGGAGTTTCACACGTGGGAGCAAGTGGGGGGCTCCTCCGGGGACCCCTGCCCCACGGATTGGGTTTGGCTGGACCTACCCTCCCGATCCCCATTTCTCTGGAACCACGTCCCCAGCCGGGGGATCTGTGGGCTTCATCCGCCTGCGTGGGCCTTGGTGGGGAGCCGTGGGAGCCGCTGCCTCTGACCTGGATTCCCCAGGGAGCCCGCAACAGCGGGGGCTGCCTCCCAGGAGCCTCCCCAGGGCCTGGCTGTCAGTTCTCCAGAAACACCCAGCACAGGGCACCCCGGGGACTCTGCCTTTTTTCCTCCCAGGAGCAGGCCCATTGGATGCAGAGAGCTCCTGTTTGCGTGTCTGGGGGTCCCAGCAGCCGCCCCCCTGCCTCTGGGACATTTGCTCCAAACATTCCCACAGCCAAACCCCTTTCCGTGTCTTTCTTTTTTTCCCCCCCAACAGCCCAAACCCTCATTCCGGCCACCGCAGAAAGACTCCCCCGCAAGCCCAGTGGCCAAGGCCCAGTCCCTGCCCTCCGACCAGCCCACTGGGACCTTCAGCCCTCTGACCACCTCCGACACCAGCAGCCCCCAGAAGTCCCTCCGCACAGCGCCGGCCGCCGGCCCTCCTCCGGGCCGGTCCTCCCCGGCTGGCTCTCCCCGCACCCGGCACGCCCAGATCAGCACCAGCAACCTGTACCTGCCCCAGGACCCCGCGGCGGCCAGGGGCGCCCTGGCCGGCGAGGGCGCGGGCATCGTGACGCACGAGCAGTTCAAGGCGGCGCTCAGGATGGTGGTGGACCAGGGCGACCCCCGGCTGCTGCTGGACAGCTACGTGAAGATCGGCGAGGGCTCCACCGGCATCGTCTGCCTGGCCCGCGAGAAGCACTCGGGCCGCCAGGTGGCCGTCAAGATGATGGACCTGCGGAAGCAGCAGCGCCGGGAGCTGCTCTTCAATGAGGTGGGAGGAGGGGGCGGGGCGGCGGGCGTGGGGGAGGGGCCTCGAATGCCAGGCCGGGCCGGGCCGGGCAGGGGAAAGCAGGGCGGTGGGTCCTCCCTGCACTCAGGCGCCCCCACCCGCCCGCCCCCAGGTGGTGATCATGCGGGACTACCAGCACCTCAACGTGGTGGAGATGTACAAGAGCTACCTGGTGGGCGAGGAGCTGTGGGTGCTCATGGAGTTCCTGCAGGGCGGCGCCCTCACGGACATCATCTCCCAAGTCAGGTGGGCGGCTGGAGGGCGGGTCCCACGTGCTGGCTGCCCCCACCATTGCCCTGGAGGGTTCCAGGCAGCCTCGGACCCAGTGGAGTTGGGGGAACTATCCCATCGTCCTGAGCTCACCTGTCTCTGGATTCATAGATCCAAGGGCTCAGGGAGTGGGAGGGCAGGCGGGGTCTAGCCCAGGCCCAGGCCCAGGCCCATTTCCCCAGGGGCTCTGTCCTACCCGGGCTCCCACACACCAGGCCCAGGGGCGGCGGGGCCTGGGACCGGGGCTCCCGGCCCGTCTGTCCCACAGCCCAGCCGAAGCTGACGTTCTGTCCCGACGGGGCCCTGCCTCCCCCGTCCAGGCTGAACGAGGAGCAGATCGCCACCGTGTGCGAGGCCGTGCTGCAGGCCCTGGCCTACCTGCACGCCCAGGGTGTCATTCACCGGGACATCAAGAGCGACTCCATCCTGCTGACCCTCGACGGCAGGGTGAGACCCTCCCCACCCTGGCCCAGCCCTGCTCCCCACTGCCCTGCTGCCAGCATAGCGCCCCTCCTCACTCGCCCCTCCCCTCTCCCTCTGCCCCCCCCACCCAGGTGAAACTGTCAGACTTCGGGTTCTGTGCTCAGATCAGCAAAGACGTCCCCAAGAGGAAGTCCCTGGTGGGCACTCCCTACTGGATGGCCCCTGAAGTGATCTCCAGGTCTCCGTATGCCACCGAGGTAACCAACCGCCCTCCACCCCAGGCCTCCGGGAGAGGCTGGGACACAGCTCCAACACCTTTGGCCCCCCCATCAAAAATAGCCGTTTCTGCCGAAGCCGGTTTGGCTCAGTGGTAGAGCGTCGGTCTGCGGACTGAAGGGTCCCGGGTTCGATTCCGGTCAAGGCATGTGCCTTGGTTGCGGGCACATTCCCGGTGGGGGGTGTGCAGGAGGCGGCTGGTCGATGTTTCTCTCTCATCGACGTTTCTAGCTCTCTATCTCTCTCCCTTCCTCTCTGTAAAATATCAATAAAATATATTTTAAAAAAAATAGCCATTTCTCATGTTCCCACTTAGTCACCCCCCTGCCCCACTGCCTACTGTCCCTTCTTCTTCTTCTTCTTCTTCTTCTTCTTCTTCTTCTTCTTCTTCTTCTTCTTCTTCTTCTTCCTTCTTCCTTCTTCCTTCTTCTTCTTTTTTTTTTTTAAACAGGCAACAGTTTTTGTTTTGTTTTGTTTTTTAATATATTTTATCGATTTTTACAGAGAGGAAAGGAGAGGGTTAGGAACATCGATGAGAGAGAAACACCCATCAGCCGCCTCCTGCACATGCCCCGCTGGGGATGTGCCTGCAACCAAGGTACATGCCCTTGACCGGAATCCAACCTGGGACCCTTGAGTCCGCAGGCCGATGCTCTATCCACTGAGCCAAACCGGTCAGGCCCACTGTCCCTTCTTGGAGGCATCTGCTCTTGCCTGTGGCTTCGCTGCCACAAACTGGTCCCCAAAATGCTAGTCCTCAGCCCAAGGGCCAGGCTCCCCCGTGTGATGTCCTTCCTCAGAGCGTGGCTGACATCTGTGCCCCTCGTCAAGGCCACTCATGCAGGAAGTAACTGCCCCCAGGGCCAGTGGCCAGGAAGGAGGCCCAGGCGCTCAGGAGAACTGAGAGCCGCTGTGGCCTCCCCGGACCGCAGCCTGCGGCGACCGAGGGGCCAGACTCCGGCCACTGGAGTCAGACACTCTCCTCCTGCAGGTGGATATCTGGTCTCTGGGCATCATGGTGATTGAGATGGTGGACGGGGAGCCGCCCTACTTCAGCGACTCCCCGGTGCAAGCTATGAAGAGGCTCCGGGACAGCTCCCCACCCAAGCTGAAAAATTCTCACAAGGTCAGTCGGTGCAAAATGTGGCCCCACAGACCAAATCTTCCTGAGGCTCAGAGGACCAGAGCCGGGGCTCCAGCCCAGCCTCCCCTTTCACAGAAGCCAGAGGGTCTGGGGTCCTGGCAGTGCTACCTCTTCCTGCATGTGAAACCTGCGCCTCGGTGTGGAGCCACATCTGTAAACACACTCCCACGGTCACTCCGACCAGTTTCTACCTGCAGGGGATTGGCAGGAGCCCAAGAGAAGGGAAAGCAAAGCGTCCAGGAATCTCTGATGCTCCGGAGAAGAATCTAGAGAAGCCGAGCAGGAACACCTCAACCCCTTCTGTCAGGGGAGCCATACCATGGCAGCAGTGTCTCTCCCCCCCACCACCTCCTCACCCCCACCCGCCCCGTCTATCTCAGTGAATTGGCTTGTCTTCCATCACTGCACATTCTGACCACATCTGAGCTAGTTTTTCCCTTAAAAACTGTGTGTGTGTGTGTGTGTGTGTGTGTGTATGTATGTATGTAACCCTTCTCAACCAAATCTAGCCAAACCAGCAGGCCTTACATGGCGGTCCTCCCTCTCCCCCCCAACCCCCACTTCACCCCACCCCTGGCCAGGTCTGCACAAAGCTGCAAAATGACTCTGCCACCTAGTGGCCAGAGTGAGAAGTATTCCAGAGGGTTGAAGCCCTGTCCCCAAATGGCAAGGTCTGTGGCCCCAGCACAGCTAGATGGGAGGACAGATGGGAACACCTCAGAGGCAGCTGGTCCTTGGAGACCACTGCTGAGCACAAGATCAGCAGATAGGGGAGAGTTCTAGTTGACTAATTCCCCGGAGGAGGCAGCTTTCTGTAACAGACCAAGACTCAGCCTCTCCCCAAGATATTGGCTCAAAAAGAACTAATATAAGACTTAGACTTAGACTCTAAGTCTTAGAGCAATAAAGTTTCTTGTTCTTTTCTGTTTTACAAAAACACTTCTTCATCCCTGACCCCTTTTGTCCTCACTGACGTCCTATGTTGCAGACATAACGAGGACATTAGCCCATTTTGCAGATGAGAAAACGGAGGCCTTGAGAACATTGCCATTTGCCAGAGATTGTAGACAAACCCAGAACTGGATCACTGATACCAATCCCATGGCCCTATCCATGGAACCCAGTCGCCGGGAGACCCCAAAGAAACAGGGTGTGGGATGGATGGTCTGTATTGAGAGCCCAGCTCCCCCAGCACTCCAGGTGCCCTAATCCCATTAACTCAGCAGCACCCCCTGGAGGTGATCTGGCCACTTTTCCTGGACTAATGCTGATTTTCTTTACCTACTTGATAATCCCAGAAAAGCTGAGCCTGGGAGGAAGCAGGAAGTAAGAAAAAGAAAGAACTTAAGACTTTCAAATGACGGTGGGATCAAGCATATGGGTCACCCCGAAATGACTGCACACTGTAGCCTCATCTCACGGCCTTGTCCCCCCAGGTTTCCCCAGTGCTGCGGGACTTCCTGGAACGGATGCTGGTGCGGGACCCCCAGGAGAGAGCCACAGCCCAGGAGCTCCTGGACCACCCCTTCCTGCTGCAGACTGGGCTCCCCGAGTGCCTGGTGCCCCTGATCCAGCTCTACCGCAAGCCGACCTCCACCTGCTGAGCCCACCGAGCGCGCCTGCCCCCCTGCCCACAGGCAGGGACGCGGGCGGCGGCCTCGCTGCGGGGCCTCATTCTCTCAGTATTCTCTCCAAAGATTGAATGTGAAACTCCCCCCTCCCGCCCCTCTGCCCGCAGGGCCAGGCCGGACCTGCCCCTTCGTCTCTCCCCCTCCCAAGCGAGTCCCCAGTTGCCTTTGGGATGACGGAGACCCCTTTTCCAGGATGACCCTTTGTTATTTGCACAGGGATATTTCTAAGAAACACGGAGACCAGCACTTCTGGCCACGACAGCCAGCACAGCAGAAAGGGCTGCCGCGTGTTTTTTTTAAGGCAGAGTGTCTGTCTGTACCAGGACACCTGCTGTTCTCAGCGCTCATTCCTGACCCTGATGTTTCCAGAGGGCCACGGGGAAGGTTTTTATTATCCGAATCTATCATCTTCCCCTGTGTCTGACTTCCTGAAGGCACAGTCCCACCTGCACCTGCTTCCCGCCCCGCCTGCACTGACAACATACGACTCCCATGCACAGCCTGCTCCGACTGTGAACAGCCTGCCTGCAGACCCTGGGAGCAGGAGGGACATTTCTGGGGGAAAGAGAAACAATGGGGTTGGTGGTCAAGGTGGTGTCACTTTACAGGACGTAAGTGCTCATGCGTGTGTGCGTGTGTGTGTGTGTGTGTGTGTGTGTGTGTGTGTGTAAGAAGGTCACCCCGACAGCCTGGCCCCTTCAGTAAGGCTTCCTCATCCTCTTTCCCACTAAGTTCTGCTCTGAAGAGACCCAGGGACCTGCTTCCTTGGCCTGGCTTCCCTCCCCTTAAGTCCCGTGTCCCCACCTGACCAGTGAAGAGGTTTGCATTGAGGCCGACACATCTGGAGGCTGGGCAGCTTTCTGAGTTTCTCCTGTTCGATGGGGTCGGAGCCCACGTATGCAAGGATGAGGAAAGAAACATCATTTCACCTGTTAGCTTCATCTCAATAACCAGGACATCAGGGACCCTTCTTTTCAAAATCCTGGTCTGGGGGAGGTGAACCAGCTCCCGGGGTTCCATCATGTCGAGAGACTGGGCATCCCATTGGTGCCAACCATCTGCCCCCCCTCGCCTCCTCGGGCACCTGTCTCCTGTCTCCTTCCTTCCCCACCTTCAGGGCAATGGAGAGACAGGGAAGCCCAGCGAAGAACTCCAGGTGTCTGGACCCAGTCTAGATCCTATTTTTAGAGTCCTCTGCTCCCTAGTGGCCTGATTTGGGGGGGGGGGGGGGGGGGGGAATTACATGGACTTTTTTTAAAGGTCAGTTTTAAAAACAAAAGCATCTTCCCTAGAAACTTTTGTGAATTGTTTGCACTTGTGCCTGTTTTAAATTAAACTGAGTGTTCGAAACCTCAGACTCCTGTTGTCTCTAGGTGTGGAGCTACGTTGTCTTTGAATTAAGGCGGGGACAGTCCCGATTTTTAACAAATTGTGGGACAAATTGTTAAAAATCGGGACTGTCCCCGCCTTAGTTCAAAGACAACGTAGCTCCTTTCCAAAAATCGGGACTTTTTTTAAATGCTGCGGGACGCGCGACAAATTGTTAAAAATCGGGACGTCTAGTCGCCTTACTTTGAACGGACCCTCGGCAGTGGGTGTCCAGTGTGGCCCTCCGCCTCCCAGCGAGAGCTTTCCAGTGGCCACGCTGGTCCACAGAAATCCCAGCTCCCTGGTGGTGTGTGGGCAGAGAAAGGGGGAACAGGAAGTGACACACCCTTGGGACTGAAAGAGCGGGGAAAGAGACTCCTGCCCAGGGGAGGGGAGCCCAGCCTGGGCCAGGGCCGAGCATCTGGCTTCTGGCCCTACAGGGGTTCTGGGGCAGCCACCAGGGCGGGTGACCACAAGGCAGCAGCGTCTCCCTTCCCGTCTGCCTCTCACTCCCCGGAAAGCCAAAGGCTGCTGTCCTCCAGCTGTCCCTGGAACTGCTCCCCGTGAGAAAGCTCTCTCCGTTTTGAGGAGACAGTGAGGAGTGTGGGTAGTGCAGTGGCTGGAAATTAAGAAACCCGAGCTCTAGTCCTGGGATTGAGGTGAGTGGATGAAATTATCTTGAAACTTCTACCTCTGATCCCAGTACTCAACTTCCTGAGAGTTAAGAGCTGGACGCATCCTACCACCTAACTCAGGGCTCACTGAATCCTAACCAGAAGCAAGGAGTCCCGCAGACCACCTCCTGCTCCCCGAAGCATTCCCAGCTAGATAGCTGCCCTGTCCCACCAGCTCAGCCGGAAGCAGCACCGGAGTCTTACCTTCTAAAGCACATGTGTCAAACACAAGGCCCGCGGGCCAAATCCGTCCCGCCAGGCCTTGCAATGTGGCCCGCACCGCGCTGTCATCACTGCACTCCGCTGCGTTTCCATCACAATGACAGTTTATGACTGTTCAGTAAACCATTCGGCCCGAGATTTAGGCTGGATTTTAGATTTTGGCCCCTTCTCTGATTGAGTTCAACACCCCTATTCTAAAGGCAGCCATACCAGGAGGAGCAGAGATGAGGCAAGTGTACCACCCACCCTTCCTTCCACCTCTCCGGAGGGAGCCCACAGTCAGGAATGGTTGGTAAGGCAGAAAGAGGCCAGTTCTTGAAACTGAACAATACTGAGTTTATTACTTATTCTTCTGAGTTCTAATACTGCTTCCACCACACAGTGTCACCCCAAAAGCACGTGCATACACCAGTTAGCCTCACACAGACCAGTTCCGAGCTTGACCTTAGAGGACCAGACTCCAGGGGCATGGGTAATGCTTCACAATGACAAAAGCAACGGGAACTGGGAAAGCAAAATGTTTAAGATTAAGAGAGTCTCTTCAAACGTGGAGAGAGCAAGAGGGGACCCCAGCCCCAACGCCCTTGGGGCTGACAGTGAGTGGAAGTTTAAGTTCTGCACGGAGCTGGGCCTGGTAAACCTGCAAGACAGCCAGTCAGTCAGACACACCATTCAGTTCAGACTGGAACAATCCGCTGTGGTTTTTCAGGAACATCCCGTTCTGCCACCCCGCCCTGGGCAGCTCCACAAGAGCAGCCCTCAGGGTTGCTTACCTGATAGGAGGGCGCAAGGTGACATTCAACCAAAGTCCCGTAAGTGACCCTTGAAAGATACAGCACACTCAACACATTGTGCAACGCAGGCCTCATAGCGTTCTGAAGCCAAAATGCTTGTATTCTTACGCCAGTAGAAATGTCATGAAAATTAAACACAGTTGGAATAAGTGAGCAAGCAAGGATCAGAAAAACAAGAAGTTTGCACGTGGGCTGTCCAATTACCCCCACCCCTCCCCAGATCCTCTCCCTCTAGCTTTTCAGGGGCTTCTGTATTGTTTACCCACCACCCAGACCATGGAACTAAGGGGATCCCAGCAGATGTTTGAGAGGAAAGAAGCGAGGAAAGGGCAAAATGTCCCCCAAACAAAAGCAAAGCTCGTCAGGAAAAAAACAACAGTGCATAATCAGTAAGTCCCAAGGTTCAGCAGTGGTAAGGGAGGGTTTGGGGGCTCCAGTTTTTCAGAAGACAGCAGGACTGCTCAGGACACCGAATTTTAACTTGGAAGATCTTGGGGTCTTTCATGACGGGTCTGGGTTCCTGCTACTCCAAATGCATTGTCTCTCACTTCATTGCTGTGAAATGACTTCAAGTATAAGGATTTGATACAAGAGTCTGAGGATTCCATGGGTAAATGCGCACGGAGGGAGAAGTAGACAGCGGTGATCCCGAATAAAACTAAGTCCAAACTCCGAGCGAGGGCGCAGCGAAGAGAGCGCAGCGCTGCCACCAGGGGGCTCCAGAGATCAGTCCAGTGCAGGGGCGCTGGCGGCCTCACGGGCCTGGAAAGGTGGAAGGATTGGGGAGTTCTCAGACATCCTCCTCCACAAGACCCGCTCCTCACCCCCAGGCCCAACTTCTCAGCACAGGTCCTAACTCTCTCAGAGTTACTGGTGAGAAACTTTCCGTTCTGCAAAGACGAGCAGATCGACGTCTTGTACACACCCCCCTGCTGGTAAAAAAAAAAAAAAAAAAAAAAAAAAAAAAAGCGGGGTGTGTGTGTGTGCACGTTCAATCTTCGGGGTTCACAGAAAGAGCCCCCACGCACCTCTACCTGACGGGCCGGGTGCGCAGATACAAGTGCTAGCGCTTCCGCAGGGTCCTAGAGCACGCGGTTCGCCAGGCCCGCCCACGGCGGTGAGGAAGGGAACGGAACGAGGTCCAGCCCGTGGAGAAAGGGCTTTTGGCCTCCTCCCTGCGGTCGCCGCTGACTCACTAATCTGCCCAGCAAAGCAGCGGGGCCGAGCCTGCGTCCCACGCGCTGGAGCAGAAGCAGGGGTCCGTGGTCTCGACTTGCAGCATCCAGCATCCGCCCTGCCCTCCATTAACAGCCCAGCGAGAGGCTCGGCCTTTTCACAGCCCCCTCCCGGCTCTCGCCGGAGTTTGATGCGATTTCAGCCCGGGCCCGCGGCGCGTGTGGGCCGCCGACCCCCGCGCGCCGCCGTTTAGCGCGGCGAACACTTCAGTCAATTATCCCCCTCGCGGAGCTTCTATTTAAAGAGACATTGTCAGGTTCTTAAGCCCGGGATCAGACCTGCTGCTTTCTGCTTCCTATACAAAGGCTCAGAACGCCAGCTCTTGGAGGATTGGAACAAATACAATTAAGCAAAACCTTCGCAAAACCGCTCTACCCTGCAGGGGCACCCGCGTGTGGGATGCGGGAGCCAGGCGGCGGTGGGGGCGGGAGGAGTGCTTCAGTCCTTTGCATCTCAGGCCTCGGAGAGGGAGAGGAAATGGGCTGGACCTCAAAGATGGAACTCAAATATAGCCCAGCCTGGGGCTGGGGCGGGTGGGCGCTGGCTGGGGCAATGGCCACACAGTGTCACAGAAGTTGGGTTCTGGGTGGGCCTGGGGAAGAGAAGGAGGAACTGCAATTACCCAGAAACCGGTTCAAGGGACAAAAAGCAGCCAACATCTTGGGCTCTGCCACTTCCAAAATAGGCTTTCATTGTCCTGGGGCCGGAGTTTCTCTCCAGGAAAGCTTAACCTCCTGACTCTTTCCTAATCAGACCTCGTTCAGAAAGTCTCTGAGGCCCACCCAGTGCTCCCCTCCTCCAACACTCAAGGGGATGGGACACGTGGGTCGTGTGTGGCATTACTGTCAGCATCCCTGGGGGAGGGGGGGCAGGCCTTTGTACAGTCTTCGGCCTGGCTGCCTGGGTGTGGGGAAACCTGACCATGGGAAGGAGACCAGGCGGGAGCCACAGACTCGGGACTGAGCCTTAGGGTGGAGGGAGGGGTGGGGTCCATCTTCCTGGGAGGCTGTAACCCATGGAACCAGTCTTCTACGCCTCCCTATCCAGGACAAGAAAGGCAGGCTGTAGGGAAGGGTGAGACTTGGGCAGGGAATACCAAAACTACCAACAAGCACAAAAAAGAAATAGCAGGGGTTCCTTTCCGAGAGAAGGCCACTCATCTTGGCAGTGGGGTCAGGTGGGAGGCAAATGGCCAGGGAAGAGAGGGCCTGGAAGAACAAGAAATCCCAGTGGAGCAGAGACTGGCAGGTGCAGGGAAGTTGGCTCGTCCTCTATGCTCTTTACCGCTGATCATGCAACACCACGGCCTCCTCCGTGCCCGCCTGCCAGGGCTGGGGCCCGGGCGTCGAGTGCGAGTGCGGCACAGCATTGGCCTCTGCCTCCGGGCCGCCCTCGGGCCCCGGGGCCTCCCCGACCAGGCTGGGGATGTCGGGGGCCGTGGAGCGCCGGCGCAACCCCAGGCGGCCGGAGCCGGGGCCGCCCTCGGGGTGGGGACTCAGGCCGATGGGAGCTTGCGCCAAGGCCGGAGGCGGCGCTCCCTCCAGCCCGTCGTGCGAACGCCACCGCCCGGCCCCCGAGGACTGGGGCGAGTGTGGTCGGGCCATCAGGGCTCCCGCCCGCAGGCGAGCGGCCTCCTCCTCGGTCACCGCTCCCAGAGCCAGGCTCATGCTCCGGCCCAGCTCGGGCCGCTCGCTCCCCGGCGCGCGGTGCCGGCCCGAGCTCTTGCCCCCGGAGCCGGCCTCGCCGCCGTGGCCGTGGCCGCCGGCCGCTCGCGCAAAGCGCGCCAGGAGAGGCCGCTGCAGGCGGCGGGGGCTCGGCCGTCGCCGCTCCGGGCTCGGCGCGGGGGCCTGGCGAGCAGGCGGGCTGTCGGAGCTGGAGCCCCGGGCGGCGGCGGCGGCGGCGGCGCGGCCCCAGGGGCCGGTGAGGGCCTGCACGCAGGTCCCGTGGCCGCGGGCGGCGGCCAGCTGCAGCGCTGTGAGGCCCGCGCGGTTGGTGCGGTCGAGGCGCAGGCCGAGGCGGCGGAAGGAGCGCACCAGGAACTCGAGCACCGCCCCGTGGCCGCAGGCCGCCGCCCACATCACCGGGCTGTTGCCCGCAGAGTCGGCCGCCTCGGGGTCGCCGCTGAACTGCACCAGCAGCTGCACGGCGTCCAGGTGGCCGCGCTCGCACGCCAGGCTGAGCGCCGTGCGGCCGCGCTCGTCCCGCAGGTTCACGGCCGCGCCCTGCTCCAGCAGCAGCCGCACGAAGCGCGAGCGCAGCGCGGGGTCCGGCAGCCCCACGGCCACCATGAGCGGCGTGCGGCCCTGCTCCGCGCGGCAGTCGATGATGCTGCGGTCCAGCGCGTCCAGCACGAAGCGGGCCAGGTGCACTTTGCCCGCCTGCATGGCCTCCAGGAAGGTGCGCGTGCCCGCTCGGGGGCACAGGTCCTTGGGCTTGAGCATGGCACCCGCCGCCGCGCCGGGGCGGCCCGGCAGCTCCGCACGGGGGCGCCCCTGTCCCCGCGCCCCGCCGGCCTCCGGCCTCCGCGGGGCCCTGGCGTGGCTCCCTCTTCGCGGGGGCGGCTGCGGCCGAGGCTCCCGGGCTTCCCGCTCCTGTGCTCCCGCCGCTCCCGCTGCTCCCGCCGCCGGGCCGCAACTGCGCCGCTCGCCGCTCTTTCCTGGGCTTCCCGCCCGCCCGCAGGTGTAGGTGGCTGCTCCTCCACGCTCCGCACCCGGCCCGCCACGAGGTGATGGGAGCCGAGACTCTGCCCCCTCCGGACTCTCCCGCGGCTTTCCTCGTGTCCGGCGGGCCTCGGTCCCCCGTGAGCCTCGGTCCCCCGTGGCCGGGAGCCGCGCCACTCGCCGCACTCGGGCAGCCCCCGCGCCCCTGCTGAGACGGCGGCGCCCGCCCTCCGCGCTGCCTGCCTCCCGCCCCGGCGGGCGCCGCTCCTCCCGCTCAGCGCCGCTCCTCCGCCTCCGCCCTCCCGCGGGGGCCGGGCCACGCCGGGGCGCTGGCTCCTTTCTTGGGGGGCCCGGCAGCGCGGGAACCGCCGCCCACCTGGATACCTGTCTTTGTAGCCTGGGGTGGGAGTGGGGGGGAAGGTCTCTATGGAAATGGCTGCCCTGGACGCGGGCTGAGCCACCCAGGCAGAAAAGGACTGGGCGGGGGGGGCGGCCCCTGAAACCCGCACCTCCGGGAGCCTCGAGGTGGGGGTGCGGCTCCTCCCCCGCGCTCCCCTGGGGCTGCAGCTGCGGCTGCGGGGGCCGCTCGCCGTGGGCCACAGGCACCAATCCGAAAGTCAGTCACTCCTCCCGCCCTCTGCCCCCAGCCGCGGCCTGGGCGCCCTAGACACGGGTGGGACCTCGGGGCCGTCGGGGAAGACCGCCAGCTGCCCGCAGCGGTCTGGGGGGAGGGAATGGTGCCCCATGAGAGCAGGACCGGACCATGAGCGAGCCGGGGTGGCTGCGGGAGGCGGGCTGGGAGTGACGGGGGAGGGAGTCGCTGCGCGGTGCGCGGGGCGGGGGGCCTCAGTCTGGCTGGGAACTGCCACTCCAAGTGTCGCCAACCACGCACTCACAATTGTTCCTCCCGCACAGGCTCGCTCGGAGCGGGGGTGGGAGGAGAGTGTGCCCGCCAATCTCAGACGTCGCCAACCCCTACAGCGCGCCCGCCCGCCCGCCACTCCCGGCGGCTGGGGAGCGGGCGGGGCGGGCGCTAAGGAGCCCGGAGCGCTGCAGCCCCGGGAGCACCTCCCGGGTGGTGCCGCCTCCGCGCCGCTTCGGGACAGGCGCCATCCCGAAAGAGCCAAGAGCAAGGGACACGCGCAAGGCTCCCCCAGTCCCCAGCTCCCCCTTAAGCATAAAACCACCTCTAGACCACAAGGCTCTGACCTTGTCCACTACCTAACCCCTATGAATGGAGAGGAGAGAGCTCAAGTCAGTAGGGGGGTCTCTATGGCAATGGCATCCAGTCTCCCTCTGGTGGGTGCTCTGGGGGAGGGGGCCTTGGAGAGCAGGGCGGGCAGGCCTCCGGTGAGCGGAGTCAGGGCGCCTCAGAGCTGAAGGGATGTGGGCGGGTGGGTAGGATTGGAATAGATTTTTGTAAAGTAAGAAGTGAATCAGGTCCCAACTACAGAATTTACTGAGCTTTTTAGTGAGCCAGGTTTCCAACTGTTTCCAGCTGTGGGAAATACAGAACCAGAAGTTCAGATCTGGATAGAAAAGACCTCCCCTCTCAAGCGGGAAGACAGGACCGAGACATAAAAAGTGGAGGTTATCGCCTGGGGGCGGAATGCATCTGTCAAAGACAAAGGAGGCGGGCCTTAGAGGAAAAGGCGGAGTTGCTCTGGATCTCCTTGGGATAGCGCTTCCAAGGCGGTCTTCAAGGAAGGGTGGAGTGGGATCTGGCTGCCGAGAAACGAGGAAGAAGACATCCAGACGGCGTTACTGAAGCAAGGGCGTGGAGGGAGGAGGGACCGTGATGGAGGCGGTTTTGAAGGGTCCCTCCCTATGAGAAACAGGAAGTGAAGGGGAGAATAAGAGTGTCCTTAGCGTGGGCAGAGCAGTGACAAAAAGCTTTGCCGCAGGAGTTGCCCGGGGAAAGGATTTTCCTCTAGGAAGAAGACGGTGGTTGGGTGGCCAAGTGGGCGCACGGCCCCGCACCCTGAACTTCTTGCCTCTCTCCAGCTCCCACGCCCCCGGGATGCCCACTTGACATGGGGCCCAGACACCGAGCAGGCTTCGCCGATCACTCTGTCTGAGGGAAATGTGATGTATGCCCCCACACACTGTGAAGCCCCTCTTTTCCTTTCTGCATTTTCCATCCCTCTGCTCAGCGCTCTGCCAGCTTTCTCTCATGGTGTCCCAGAAAGGGCACAGCGTTCAACATCAGAATTAAGTCCCAGCTTGAAGGCGTTTACTAGCCGAGTGGCTCCAGGCCTGCATATCCCCACCTTCAAAATGAGGTTGATGACACTACCCTGCCTGCTTCAAGATCTTGCTTGTAGGGTGTCGGGAAGAGAGCTGCACAGTCACTCAGCATGCAAAAACTCAGCGCCTCCCTCAGACCAGCCCCTCCTGGCGGTCACCCAGGGCGGGTGCAGTCTCTCCCACCCCCATAAGGATGGGGAATGCTCTCCCTCTTCACTCAGATGGCAGGAGAAACACGTTTCTTCCTTTTGTGACTCAGTTTCCCCTTTCTCGCCCCGGAGGGAAATTGCTTGCTTCCATTCTTTCTCTGTTTTCGGGGTCAGGGGAGAGGGTGCCTCTGGAATGTGTGTGTGGCAGACCATCCTACACCCAGGCAGTGTTGCCCCCCAGAGGGAGGAGAGAAGCAGCAGGAACACGGACTGGGTCCTAAAGAGACATGGCCCCTCTCCCCTGAGCCTCCTGAGACAACTCTGTGCCATGCATGTCCCTGTGGAGTGCGGAGGATGGGGACAGCTCCATGGAAGAACAGGAGCTGAGGCAGGTCCCCTTCGGGGCCTCATCCTGGCCTGTCAGAGAGCCCGTGCTGGCCGCTCTTTGGCTCCATTTCTCCCAGCTGGCCTTGCCAAGCAGGCCTGACGTGTGTGTGTGTGTGTGTGTGTGTGTGTGTGTGGCGGGCAAGGGGGGGGGGTGGTGCAGTGCCAGGTCTCTGGCCTGGAGCCTTTACTCTGACTTCCCTATGGGCTCAATATGTTCTGAACAGGAAAGAAAGAGCAAAGCTTAAAAAGGGGGCTGCGACTTCGCTGCTGAGCACAGAGGCACCAAGAGCCCGAATTAGAAGCTATCGCTTAGGGAGCTGAAGGCTGACAAGAGCTAGAGCCGAGGCAGGCAGGGGGCAGGCAGGCAGGCAGGCAGGCAGGCGCGCCACACTCCCCTCCCCCCCACCTGCTCACCCTCTCCCCGTGCAGGCCCCAGGCTGGCAAAAGGACTTCCCAGCAGAGGCGGCTCAGGTCTGCAGTCTGTCGCTGTCTGCCGCTGCCCCGCCCCCCAGGCCCGCTTCTTTCCTCAAGTGTCACCAACCCCCTCACCCTGTCACGTTGCACCAGCTCAGCGGGGTTGGGCCTGGTGGCACGCGGCTGGGAGATTTAGAGAGCTTGGGGGCTGTGGGGGTGCAGGGGGCTGGTGAGTCAACAGGAGACTCTGGCAACTGCATCCGCATTGGGATTGGGCAGTGGGTAGGGACCCTTCAAAGGGTGAAACTGAGGCATGGCAAGTGGACAGGGCACCTTGCCCAGCCCCGCAGATACACATCAGGAATGGAACCCAGGTGCCCTTCACCTGCCCGGTGCCCAAGGGAGGGCAACTCTTCCTCTGCACATCCCCTGACGCCAGAAATTGATTCATCCCCGAGGCCCAGAGCCTGGCATTTCCCCAGGGCGCCTTGCCCTTTTCTAAGAGCACAGAGGCAGGGAGGGGGGTACTAGGCTTGGGAGCCTCCAGCGTGGTGTGCAGAGGCCTCTCCGGGGGGCAGGACTGCAGGTCCTTCCCCAGCCCTGGGCTTCCCAGCTCCACACCAGGGCCCAGAGACTCTGCCAGGCCTGGCTCAGCGGCAGGCAAACAGCCCCTCAGTCCCCTGCGCAGTCATTGGCACAACAAGGGGGTGATGCCAAGTGGGCTCTCATTGGTGCTGGCTCTGGCTTCTGCCCCATGCCTGAGTCAATGAGTTCCTCTAGGTCTGGGTGCTGCCCTGGGCTGAGGGCAGATGGGCAGCTGAGTGCCCAGCTGGGGGACTGAAGACAGGGCACTGCCCTTGGCATATCAATGAGCAGGCCCTTAGCCTCACCCTGCGGCCAGGGACAGCTGGGATCCCAGAGGGGCTGGGGTGGGGCCGGGGGAGTCCTGTCCATTTCCCAAAGGCACTGGTGCTCCCAGCTAAGGGCACCTGCTAGAGCCCTCCGATAGGAAAACCACCTCTTCCCAGCACCAGCCCCACCCTGCCGCTCCCAAACCAGTGTCTCCTCCCATTTGGCTTTGGCGCCAGGCCACGGATGCTGTGAATGGCTGCCCACAAGCGCTGGGTGAGCCGTACGATCACAGGGGCCTGAGAAGCTGACCACCGTCAGGTGGCCTGAAGGTTGGCCACTTGCAGGAGGGTGGGGGGCACCTCTGCTAGGCTCTTCTGCTTCACCCTGAGGGTGGAGACAAGGAAGGGCCACCCCTGGGTGGGGATGGAGAAGAGGGGTGATATCATTTTCCAGTGGCTGGGGTGGCAGGGCCGACAGAAGGGGAAGTGAATTCTTCTCTTCAAGCCTGAAGACAGGGCCATTCTGCTGGGCTCTGGAGGACTTTCCCCCGGTTCTGCTCCCAAGGGTTTTCCCAGCCTGCTTCAGTTCAGGGCTTTCTCCCCACTCCCCCCCACACACACACACCTCCCCACCCCCACCCCGTCCCAATTCTCAGCAGTAGAACAGAGGCCAGGCTCAGGCGGGAAATAATGGGACAGAGTACTTTTGTAGGACTCAAAAAGGAAAAAAATAAATAAACCTCATAAAGTTAGGAGAGAAAACAAACGTGACCCTGTCAGGAAGCCTGGGTTGGAGTACATGTTAGGAAATAGCCCCTAAGCCTAGGAAAAGGGGTGAGCCGGGCTCTGGATGGGAACATGCCCAAAAGGCCCCCCTTCTCCCCTCACTGCCAGCCAGGGCCCCAGTGGTCTCTGGGGCGGAGAGACAGACAGCTGAGGCAGCTTTTTCATGTCAGCCTCCCCCCCCCTCCCCCGCCCACATCCCCACCCCTCCCCCCAGGCAGGAAGCCAGGGAAGGGACCTCAGCCCGGAATCCTAGGGCCATCAGGCCTCAGGGAGCTTGGAGGCAGGGCCAGGCTCTGAGTCAGGGAGCAGACAATGAGGCCGATTCAGGGCAGGCCCACGAGAGGCCTGGGTAAGCCGCCAGCCTTACGCGGAGCAGGTCCTGCTTGAATTGCAGGTGCTGCGTGGAGGTTGCAGGAGGGAGGCCAGGCCTAATCCTGCAGGTGAGGACACTGACTCCAGAGTGAGCACTAGGAAACGCAGGGAGAGCCAGGGCCCCTTTCCCTGCCTCTCAGCCCATATTCTTTCGCCTTCAACAAATAGATGATATTGATTCAAGGAGAAGGAGGAGGAGGAGGAGGAAGTCAGCTTAGAGAGGACCTCTAGGCCTCCATGAGCCCCTGCCCTGATGGGATCCCTGCCTCCCCCTCCAGCCCGGCTGTTGAGGAGACAGACGGCTCCAGAGTCGAAGGCAACCCCAGCCTCAGAGTACTGGGGCTGCTGGGGCCTTTCCTCCTGGGGGGATGGAGCCCCGCCCGGCAGAAGAGGGAATGTCCTGCAGCATGTCCCAGCTGCATGGGGGCGTCAGAGGCAGCTCTCCTGGGTGTCTGCGTTGGCTGTAGGAGAGTCCTGTTCGCACAGCTCCCGGGATGCCTCGCAGGACCTGTCGGGCTTGTCCTCAGCCTCGGAGGGGAAGTAGGTCCTGAAGCAGGTCCTCAGCGACTCCTTCACCTCAGTCTCCAGGCCCTTCATCCTGGCCTCATGCTCTGCCAGCACCTCCTGCTGCAACTGTGGGGACAGCAAGGACCACCCCCGGCTCAGGAGGGCCCTCCTGCCCACGCTCCCTCCCGTGGACAACGGAACAAGGAGATGCCCAGTCTTTGCAAAGCTCCCAAGAGGTGGAGGTGGAAGTGGGCATACGGAGCCC